GTTTTCTTCGGATTAAATCACAAACATCAGAGAATTTCAGACAAATCTCGACGAGTTGACACCAACCGCGCGCCCCGAGATCAGACCAGTATCAGCCCAGGATTGGCTTCCAGACCTGTGACTGTTGGGGGAGCACATCGAGACCATCACTTGCAGTCAGCACCGCCTGCATTGCACGGGACTGACTGGTGATGCCGGCAGTGCGCGTAGGATCACAGGCCCGTTGGCAAGCTGGCTGTTTGTGCATCAAAAAGCAGGTTCCTTGAGAGCCCACGTCTAATGATACAGGTCGTTGGGTTCCTGGATTAGCTCACCATCGAAACGCTCCGGGAGTCTGTGCGGTGGGCTGCTGCCGCCAGAAGCCTCGAACGACATCGCTTTTGGTGGTGATCCTATATTTAGCCTGGCGATCCGTGGGACTGTCGCTGCAGGTGCAGAGGATCCATTGAAACGTTGCGGGTGGGTGGGGGGAAGCTGGAGCTGGACAGCAGTATGATGAAAAGGGGTGTGCGTTGTCAGCGTCGAGCGTTGGTGGTGGTGCATTGCTGTTGGCTGTTACAGAAGGCAGGGGCGGTTGGGCGAGAATGTTTATGAGGCGGGCCTGAACCGCTTCGAAACACCCCTAACAAACATAATCGTACTATATCGTGCGCGGCCAGGAGAGGAGGGTGGAAATGAAGAGGAGTAAGATTTTAATGCACACGTCGATCGAAACAAGCATGAACCGAGGGATAACAGTTTGATGCAGACGCACCGACGTTGGCTGGCGCTTCTCGCCCGTGCCCCCCGCGGATCCCCACAGCTTTATCGGACTTGGGCTACGGTCGCGCTTTGGTCAGGGAGAAAGAATGAGCGGGAACTCGGCATTTTGAAGTCTGGCGGAGGTCTGGCCAGAAAGTAAGTCGTGACCTTGACTATGGTTTTCCAAAGTTCGGACGCTGCGTCAGCATGAACGGGGCTGTAACCGGCGTAGGCCGCAGGGGAGTGGGAGCCTCAGTCCCGAGAACGAGCTTTGGGCTAGGGATTTGAGGCTCAGGTTGGGGGCCCCGACCTCAGCCGGCGCCCGACGGGAGGGGTGCTGCGCCGTGCCTCCCGTAGGGCGCCGCGCCACAGCCAAACGTCGGCCGCCGCACTCTCACCGCTGGGTCGTGGCGTCTCGACAACGGTCGACGAACCCGCAGGAACGCCTGCACGACACGAAGCACATGTGCTGCCAATAAGCGCCTGCACGCTTAAAGTTGCGGTTCGACTTGCGAGCTGCATTGAACGTCGCAAAAACATTGCATCAAGATCGCACGACTTGTCGAAACCATTGGCTAGAAATGCCCGACTCGTGTGTTCCAAAGTCGTTTGGAGTCTGGGGCACTCGGGAAAATACATACCCCACCCCAGCTCTCCCTGCCTCGTGGTGGGGCACAGGAGGTGCAGCCCCTGTCTCGATGCCTCGACGGCTGTGGGGCAGATTGTGGCTTGCCTGTCCCGATACGGAAAAGGCTGATCTTGATAAGGCCAAAACTGGGGCCTCTAAGGTCTTGGCCAGTGGCTGCCGTGGCTGGTGGCTGGGTTCGATGCCTCGTCTGAACCAGGGCCGACACACACCAGCGTCGCAGAAAATGTTACCCAAACGCCGGCTCGCGGGCCTGTTAGCGCAGGCCGAAAAGCAGCCGTGAACACGAGAGTTCTTTGGGGCAGCACAGCAGTGTAGTCCCGCTCAACAAAGCAATCATATGCCAAATGCATCGCAGCAAGCCCATTGTGTCGATGTTGGGCCTGCTGTGCCGTCTACAATTGCCGCCGGAACAATATCAGAGGTGACAAATGACGGCGTTTCGGAGCGGGAAACTGCACAACAGATGCGGCGCAGAGACTCGCTGGCCAATCGAGGGGTCCATTGGCCCCCCGGCCAGCGCCCTGGCCTGTGCGTCCAATTGTGGGCACGGTGGAACAGCGTGCGCCTCAAGTCCTGGACCCGTCTCGAGTTTGGCGACCTCCTCCGACTCTGCATGTTACATCAACCCGTCGATCCGACAATGCCATGGCGCTTTGCACCGCTGGCGGCGCATTGTCGCTGGGCGATCATACAACAACTCACACACGCCCCCAGCAGGCGGAAATTGTCCAACATGCCATGCGCTTGCTTGTCGCTGTTTTTGCTGCCACAGCGCCTGTCGCCGAGCCTAGCAGTCGCTACAGGGCCTCCATTGCCCTGCCCGTTTGCGGCATCGTCGCCGTGTCAGGTCTCAATCGACCCTCGGCCTCCACCCTCTACCCCTACGACACACCGACGTGCGCGCGCCTGACTAGCCACCGGCCCTGCTAGTCTCACCCTCGCCCTTGCGCGATTCGATGTTTTTTGCACCATAATCTTTCGAGCAGTCAATATGGGACACCTGCCAATTGCGAGTCCACCATGCTGCACTCCCCACCTCCCGTGGTGCCCCTGGCCATCCCGAGTTTGGGGTTGGGCTCCGCTGCCCTCCCATGGCGCCCTTGTTGTCCGACCTCGATGGACCTCGATGGCCTCTCGTGATCTCCGCCCAGCTTCGTCCGGTTCTTCCATGCCATTGGCCGGGTGCTCTCGTTGTCGCAACTGGCCTTGACCTGTCTCCCCTGAACATGGTCTCGTCTGTTCCTTCTGTCACCCTTCGACATTCGATTTTCTGAGAACTCACGCCATAGATCTACGCAGGCCTAGACCGTCCCTCTTCCTCTGTACGCGATCTGCCTCTACATCGTACCCCTTCCCCAGTCTTTCCCCGAATCTACATCTCCCATTCGCCCCTTTGGCTTGTCCAGAGGCCCACCCGTGAGACCATATACTTCCGCCGGGGGGATCTTGATCTCCCTCGCATGGTTCCTGCCCAGTCTCCTTCCGCGTAATGGCCGTTTCTTTGGGCACTGCTTAATCTCTTTTGTTCTATTCTTACTACCCCTCCCCGCGGCCCTCTGCCCTCCCCCCCTCCCTCCTTCCTTCTCACTTCAGCTTACTTCCACCGTCACGTCTTCACTGACTGGCAGGAGGATACTTCAAACTTCTCCTTCCCTTCGCCGGGCGGGTCCCGCTTCTCTTCGACCTCGCCTTTTTTCGATCATCGATCAACAGACCTGCTTCCATAAGCGGCAAGGGAGCAGGTTCATACAACTACGCGGCCGGCCGTCCGCTCTACGTGTCCTCGATTCTATCTTCTCGCCGCCGGACGGATTTGGCACCTTTGGACTGGATGACTTGGTCGGCTGGGGACATCTAGACTGTGCATAATACGCTGGGGCAAGAGGAGGACACCACAACCAACACGATGATCTGGCAAACAGCGCTTGTGGCCTCACTCCTGGCGTCGGGGGCCCAAGCAGGAATAGGATCTCTCGTTGCCGAGGGAATGACGCGCGGCAACCCGTCGGTGGTGCGGAGGTTACAGGAAATCGCGAAACTGACTCTCGTGTCACGCGGGTTCTTGGACGAGAGGCAAACACCAACGGTGGACAGCAACACGGTCTTCTCGCCGGATGGGACCATCAACATGACGGCTTGGGACGACCAAGCGAACAGGGCATGCAATGCCGCACTGAAGGACCTCAAGCTGGCGTCGAACCCGTCGGGGGCAGTCATTTGCTACAACCTGCCGGCCCTCAACAACGTCACAGGGACTTTCGAGGCAGACTTGAGGCTTTATCAACTTAACGAACCGACTGGAGACTTTGCGGGGATACCGCCCGAGAAGATCCAGGTCGGCCTTACCTACAAAGGAGCGTCGGTATCACCAGTGACTTCACAGACAGCATCGACGAAGGTGGTGGCGGCAAGACAAGCTGCGGCTGGCGCTGCGGTGGAGGCTACGGGAAACGGACCACTCAAACTCCTTCAAACGTACCTGTTTGTTGGCCAAATTGACAAGACTCAACTGAGCAATCCAGTGGACACGTAAGTTCATTTCCTTGACCTACTAGCAGACTGTTCACTAACTCGAGGTTTTAGCGCTCGTCTGCAAGCACTTGTCATGCCCGTCGTGACGCTCAAAGCCAACAACACCCAGGGCCAGCTCGTGAGCACGACTGTGTCATCGAACGAGGCCGTCTTTGTCACGGGAATCTTCTCGGCCGTGGTGTTCATGAGCACCTTTCGCATGGCCGAACTTGCAGTGGAGCAAGAGGTCTCCAACATGCAGAACGGCACAACTGCCTTCGTGGTTCCCGGCATGCAGATCCTCATCTTCCCCATTGGCCTCATCGTCACGGGCGCATGGACGCTTCTGGGGGTTGCCGCCTACGCATACGGCACCTACTCCCGGTACCAGTTCAGGGACCAGTTCCGGAAGCGCATGCAAACGCTCGAGAAGTCGAACACGCCAAGGATATGACACGACACTTGACGCAACGCGGCCGGAAGCAGGGGAAATAGCGGAGGACACGACAAATACAGGGCTCACCACCCACCCTTCTTCTGTCACATCTTTTGGGATATACCATCAACGACGCTCCCTTCTGGAGCAAAGCAATACTTTCTGCCATTTTTTTTTTCTTTTACTCTGCACTGCGCAGTATTTATTTTACAAACATTTCGGCACTTCCGGCTGCTTTATTCCCATTACATAGCAGCAGCCGCGCCCGTATAACCTTGTCACATAGCCAATACTGTCTGTACATATCTCCATGGCATTGCCGATGCGGCTCTGCCGGCGGCTAGACATAGACGTCCGTCAATACAAAGAAGTAAAAGATTACTACAATATTTTGTGTCCATTTGCGTGCGAGTTTGTGAAATGTCTTGATGCGCCGTTTTCTGTGACGAGTGCCACGTGATTGCGTTCAGGGGTTGCAGGGTAAACACCCGGCGGCTCGTGGTGTTGCACCTCCGCGAGTGACTTCCCCCCTCTGTTTTCCCGGCCGGGAAATGAACACTGACACTGACGCTAAGAAAAAGAAACAAGACATGCAAAAAGAAACACCGGTAACAATTGCAGCCACACAGACAGCACGCAGCCGGCAAAAGATGCCAAAAAATGTATCCGCGGTGAGGATCGAACTCACGACTTTTGCATATCTAGTAGCCCAACAGAGGATTACATGTATAAGAGCAACACGCTAAACCGCTGCGTCACGCGGATATTTGGGTGCAAATTTAGGGTCCGGACCGCTGCCCTATAAGGCGCGCGGCCGGGTACCCGCGGGAAGCGTCGGCTTACCTACCTAACTTACCTAGGCCGCGTGAGTGAGTGAGTGCCCCGCCCCCACTTCAACTACAGCGGCCGCTAGCACCTACGGTTTTTACACCTGTGCACCACAGCGCTCTCGTCCACCACTGTGTTTGAGCGCGCCTTGCCTGAAACCCCCCAGCGCGCGCCCATCACTCGCGCTCTATCGGGGATCTTATGCCGCGATTTCCGGATCTATCTGCTTCTGGTAGAGCAATGCCTTTGTGATTTTTTTCTTCTTTCGTGCTTGGTCGTATTATTGGGACTCAATTGGCTAAAGAGGCCGATTCTCGTGGGCGGGGCTTTTCAGGCGCCCCGCTTGTGTCTGATGATGTACTATGGACGACAGTCGAGAATTTCGGCGTAACAGCGATGTGATCATGGAGGGATGGACTTTAGATAAGATGCACGTTTAGAAGAATGTTAAATAAATAATGTTCTTTTAATCTTGAATTTCTGGCCCAGAATGATGGGACGACTGACCGTGGCAGCTTGGGTACCCAGCGCCCTGCATCATGCGAGATCTGGCAGCCTGCCTGCAGGTACCATCTCGCATCAAAGCCGGCGCCGAATGTTAGCGCACATCATTGTCTGGCACCCCGGAGTGCATGAACCGGAGACGCAGCCGAGCCGGACTTTTACGACGAACTCTAACCAGACGGCAACCTGAACTGTCAATTGGGCGTCCGTTTCGTTTTCTCGCATTTCGTCTTGCGCCCATGGGCTGCTATTACCCGCCTGCTTTCCTGCTCAGGTTCCTTCTCGCCCGCACCTTCCGCGCCGCTCTCTGCCCTTCTTCGCTTCTCGCAGCCACCATTCGAGCCGCTAAAGCCCCGAGTCTCGAGCTTAACAGCGCTTTCTATTGATTGCAGCGCACGCTAGCCCGAACAACTTTTTTCTCCTCCAATTGCGTTTCTACAGAGACCAACCTCAAAATTCCCGCGTCCCCGCGTCCGGAACCCCGCGGTGTCTGCGGGTCCCTGCCGTTGGCGGCCTTCTTTACCACCACTGACTCTATCGTCCCCCGCTCTACTAATCTCGCAGCCCACAGAAGCCGGGCCACACCCAAGACCATGGCCGCCAAAATGGACGTCTCGCTTCTCGTGGCGCAGATGCAGGACACGCTGTCGACGATCCACAGCACCGTCGCATCCCTGGACACAGCCCACCACGACGCCAAGCTCGACCAGCTGGAGCAAGACCGTGATGGCGCCATTCAGGCTTTGCATGTCGGCTTCTCGGCCGAATCAGACCTGCTGGGCCAGAAGCGCAAAGCAGAGCGCGACCAGATTGCCGAGCGACGGAGACAGGAAGATGAGGAGCGCGAGAGAAGGCGCAGGCTCGAGGACGAGGAGCTCGCCGCGAGAGACCAAAACGAAGATGCAGAGCGCGAGTTGAAGCTCAAAGACGAGACAAAGGACGTCGAAGATGAGGCGGACGACTTGATCGACCAGGTGGAAGCAGAGGCGCAGCGCATGGTCGAGGAAGGAAGGAAGACGCTGGCTGCGCTGGAGGAAAAGAGACGAGTAATATCTCCCTTCAGGCCTGCCATCTACTGATCCCAACGCGATGTACTGCTTCATGTTTTGGGATATCCCGCTGACAATGGCAAACTCCCAGGAACTCAATCGCCTCATCGACGAGCAGCTTCAGACGGCGATACCCGCCCCTCCCACGAGGGCGAGAAGGGGAGGCATGCGGACCGCCAGAATGCCACTGGTTGTTGCCGCAGAAAGTAAGCCACCGGAGCTTTTCAAAGTCGCAGAAGAACCAGCAAGTAACTCGAGTGTCAAGGCTCGTGAGAACGACGACAGCCACGAGGTCGACTTCGTGCCAAAGCCTGCTACGGATGGCGCAGGAATTTTCCCAACCGAAGATTCCTACGACGCCGGCTTCGACTCTTTGAACGAGACAACCGATGTTGAAACCCAGCACGACATCTCGGCAACGTCTTCTGGTTTTGGTGCAGAAGAGACTTCTCTGCAAGGACCAAAGCAGTTCATTTCAGAGGCAGGGGAGTCTGATTCTTATGGCGAGTCTTCAAGCGAGAAGACTGAGCTTCCCACAGGAGAGATCAATGGGCAACCAAATGAGATCTCACATGGAAACATCAAAGAGGCTTGGTGGGGGGCCCAGAAACCTACGGCGTTTCAGGATGAACCTTCGTCCGAGCTAGAAGAAGTTCCCGGGTTCGAAACCGAAGCCGAGCTAATATTGGCTGAGAGCTCTGACGGAGCCGGGTTGGACACATCGATGCAGAGAGACGATATGCCTTTGTCTGAGCCCATTAAAACCGCCGCCAATCATGATGATGCCGATATGGAACCCGAGGTCGAACCAAAGTCTCTTGCACAGCACTTCGAAACCTCAGTTCCCAGTTCCAGTTTCCGTGGGGCTACGGATTTTGAACACGACCAAAATGCGCTGCCGTCTGACAGCCTAGAACAACAAAATCTCCTTACAGACGAGGGCATATTCTCTTTGCATGGGAAACCGCACTCTCTAGACAACGACGAGCCGTCATATCATGACCAGCCTCTGTCAGTTGTCAGTGAGATTACGGCCTCTTTGGCTGGCAGAGAAGCAGATCGGTCACCGTTGGACGGCATGGAAACCGCCATAAATGAGCCCAGCGGGGCTGTGTCGGACACTGGAGAAGAACCGATCAGTTCTCACGTTTCTGACCCGTATCATTCTTTGGAGCCAGACCCGCTGACAGAAGCGGACGATTTCGGAGGCGAGAAAGACTTGTTCACTCCTGAGCTCGAAGAGCCAGGGCCGACTGCGTACGGGTTCAGTCTTACGAAAAGCGAGCCTGAACCTGAGCACGGCCTCTCAAACACTACAAGCGACAAGTTTGCAGAAGACTTGTACTCCACAGTCTCCGATAGTTTAGAGGTCGGGAGGCCAAGAGCGGGGGCTTTTGATGACGACGATTCGGACACCAACGAGTCAGACCATGAGGGTACTAACCAATTAATTGCCGGCGTTGTATCACACCAGGTAGCTGATATGGATTCCGCGGATGTTACCGAAACGACGGATCTGTTTTCGGAACATTTAACTCCCGCGGACAGCAACGCAGATACGGAATCACAGGTCTTTGTCACGCCTCTCGCATCGGCAGATTTTGATTCCCATGAGTCAATCGCACATCATAGGAGCCTGGCTGATGACTTAAGCCGCGCCGAGGATGGTGGCTACGCTGAAGACGATGAGAATTATGAACATCGTGATGGCGCGTCCAGTCCGTATGGCCTCGAGGAAGAACCTACGACAACAGTCCACGGCCATGACGACCTTTTTGACTCTGACGACCAGAGCGACCAGTTCGCTGGCACTGAGAGTGGCTCCGCTTCGGAGGAGGATGGTGGTGATTACAACAGTTCCATTGAAGAAGCACAGCCTCTGGGCTTGCAAGCCGTGACGCAACCTCTCGATGAGGAGACACATGAGGGCGAAGTATCCGAAACAAGTGCTCTATCGCTCGAGGGAATGGCCATGCTGTCGAACAACAGCCTTGTCCAGAACTATTGGGCAGATGAGGTTGAAAATGACATGGATGAGAGTCTGGAGCCGGAGATGGGCCGCAACACGGAGACTCAACCGACAGATACGCCAGCCACACCTGAGAGAATGAGCCCGCCCGAGCCGCCACACCAGGAAGCCCCTTGGTCAGAGAACAAAGGCCTTGCCGCCAGCAGACACAATCCTCTGAGACCGCAAACTCCAGTCCGGCAACAAGAAAATGATGCCGCATCCCACGTGCCTGAGCTAGAGAACTTCGCACCCAGAGACGTGACAAACATCCCGTGGCGCGCCAGAACCGGATCAACTCCTCAGTCGATGCGGAGCCAGAGCACACTGTCATCCTCGCCCCCGTCGCCCATAATGCACCCAGCACTCCCTGGCAACGCCCAGGAACCCGCCATCCGCACCAGCTGGTCCTCCAACCCAAACAGCCACATGTTCAGCGGCATGGGCGGCGACGCCACGGGCCGCCCGCGCAACGACTCACAGCTGACGGACTTGTACGACCCGTTCCAAACCGACAGCAGCACCAAGACCAGCACGCTCCAGAACGCAGCCCACTGGGAACAGAGCGAACTCCCAGGGGATGTGCAGGATGTGCCACCAGAGGACGTGCAAGAAGGCGACGACCATGGCCATGGCCGCAGCAACCGGGCGATCAGCTCGCCCAACACGCTCTTCCAGAAAATGCGCAGCGTGTTTGAGCAGCAGCCACAGGCCACCGTCCCGGCAGCGCCAGCGCCAGGCAACGTTGAAAGCCGGCGCGCAGAGACGCCGCCGTATCTCAGCGGCGTCGGTGCGGGTGGCTCAGGCTGGTCGCCAGGCAGCAGGGGCAGCCCGGCGCGGTCGCGGAGCGTCAGCGGCGGGCTGCTGTTCTACGCTGGGTCCGGCCGCAGCAGAGCCGACAGCGCCTGGACCAGTTCCAGTCCCAAACGGAGGCTGCTGCCTGACGGCTATGCTCGCAACAATAGCTACGACGCGGAAGAAGATCGCGACGACGTGAATGAGCGCAGCGGACTGCTGAGCGACGGCAGAGGCTCGGCGGCGAATTGACCACGCTCGGGCGAAGCGGGGGCTGGTGCTGCCAGTGGCGATGACGATGTCGACGGGGATACGGTGGTTCATAGTAGTAGTGACGGTGTTGGAGCTGAGGTGGACCGAGATGAGCAGGACGGGAGTCAAGAACACCGGCCTAGTGTCCTGTCGGTCTGGAAGAGCGAGGTGTCGGTGGATCATGATTCCGACTCGGATTCCCACTCAACATCTAGGGACAGGATCAGGGTTAATGATATAGATGCAGCTCGCCGTGGCAAAATTGACCTCGCTGAAGGCATGAGAGGTCAGAAAACCGGCGTGAAAGGAGATTTCCGCCTCGCGTGGCA